CACAGGTGTTAAAGAAGCGGACCCTTTGAGGTCCTAACAGTCTGGGGCGTCAAGTCACATCGCAATCCCAAATGCCATTTAAATCCGCCGCCCTTTAAAACAGAGACACGTCTCTCAACTCCTGCTATTGTGAAATACGCCTTAGGGAACATGCAGTCGGTTCACAGCAGGTTTAAGATCAACGCGCCTCAAATCTACTTGAGACGTAATCTTGAAGGAGAAAGTCTACCCTCAATCACTCCAGATGGACCCCATTGTGTCTGCCAAAAAGAAATCGGGCAGTTTTGTAAATCACACAAGGAGAAGGACTACTGGAAATCAGTTTGTAGTCTCATCTGATAAGCCGTTCCAGGGTGATTTTCAGCACTTTCGACACCTTCAACAATGCAGCAATCAAACAGACACAGAGGCAGTCAGAGACCAGTCGAGGGGAAAAGTAGATTATAATTAACAGAGCTGGATATTGATTTGCTATTTTGGGAGCATTTTAAGAGAAGATAACAGATATCTGCCAGCAAATGGGTTCAGTCTCCGAGACTGGAGATCCAAAGCTGTTGACACGCACGACTGCAATTTTAAATCACTTCCCTGATGATGATGTAATGTCAGAACCCTGTGTGAGCTCAGTAGGTAGTTCCTGAAACACACTGTAATGGGAGTTGTGGCATCTAAGGGTCACAAAATCAGATCTCAGATTATCCCACATGGAAAACAAGTCTGGATTAATTCAGCCGTGAAGTTTTATCTCCCATTTTTTTTCTTTTTTAAATGTAATTGCTGCGGTACCAGCTAGTTTTAATTGCTGCTTATTTCACTGAACGGTAGTGATCTTCTGTCCCGGACCTGCTCTTAAGGACTTCATTAAATCAATCATTGAGTTCATTGGTCACAATTACACCAGTGCCCAGGCCTATGGTCAAACCCGGAGTCTGAGCTCTCCAGAACCAGGAATGAGGTCCACTGCTCTATGGTTCCGGATCAATTGCTATTTGTAAAATGCAGGTCTCTCCTGCTTCAGCCTATGGACGAGTCACAGATGTAATTCTAAACATGCTGACTCTGCAAGTCATTCATCTGTCTTTTTTTCTTACGGATGTGTGTTTTATATCTGTAGAAATAAGAATCTGTAGAAATAAGAACCTGGATCAAAAAATAGAAGCACAGAAATCTCCTGAGGTAGCTGATAGGCAATGTTAATGATATTTAGCTTCTTGAAAATCTGTCTTCAAGACCTCTAAAGACAGATGGGATGAAGGACAGCTTTTGAAGGGCCACTTAATCAGCGACCGCTTGCTGGACCTTTCCCCATGTGGCCTGTGCTGTTTTGTCTTCAGAAACCGAACACAAGCTAGAGAGCCAAGAGACTGCAGCTCTGCCCAGATACGACGCGCTCAGCCGATCCCCCGGGGACAGCGAGATAATTATGGCAAAAGAACAGAAAGAAGACGAAGCGAGCGAAAGAGTGAAGTCAGTGGGAGGACTTTGAAGGAAACCGGAATAAAAGCTCACTGAGTGTATGACCAGGCCCGAGTCCACAGGGTATCAGAAGTGCTGATTCAGAAGACACAATGAGGAAAAGTTGGTCCCACAACCTCATTGAGCTCTCTGTGTCATAAAAAACAACAAATTGGCCTCTCCTGCCCGTTTCTTAGCAGGTAACTCTAATTGATCCTAGGTTCCCTTTCAACATCCAGACATTCCTTGAAAGAAACCAGAGTATTGGCTCCAACAAAGCTTCGCGCATCCTGCAGAGCGTTTGATGGGAGAACTGAAACACTGCTGAGCTCTGTCTGGCCACACATGTGAACCCTTGTCCACTCACACCTTTGCCCTCAGAGTTGCTACAAAGCTATTTCTAAAAAAAAAGAAAGAAACAAAGTGTCTTTTCCTTGCTAGTTTTTTAAATAAATGTTTTAATTGTTGTTGGGGTTTTTTTTGCTACATACAGTGCATTTTCTAAGCAGGAACCCATCACCCACAGTTTCTACTACTAAAAGAACAGCTGCCAAACGCCTGTGGCAGAGCTATCTTGACACTCTTGCATTTCTGAGTTGTTTCCCTGTGAGGGTTGCCAATGCAGTGTTGGGGTAGGTCGATATCTGGAGAACAGACAGCATTACAGATGCCGGACCTGCTGCTCAAAAGTTGAAGAGGTCTGATTTGATTTCAACTCTGCAGGCAGCTGCCCCAGAACATTTCCCTCAGTATTTTTTACCTTGCATTTTTCCAGAGATTCCTCCTTGATCTACTAACACCAGATTATAACACAACAATTATTGAACTCTCAATTATTCAGCAAGGACAGAACCCCACAGCCTGCAGATTGATTGAGTAGTGTAAATCCTGGCCTTTACATGAGAACAGTTGCAAATGAGAGGAGGCCAGTCTGCCCAACTGATCTGTTTGGTACTTAGTTGCCAATGGATCTACAGTAGGGACCTTATTGAGCCCTTTCTTGAAAGAAACCTGTAACGGAACAGTTCTTTTCGGACCCTATGCGGACGACACAATCCGGAATAGTGAGGAAACACTGGGGAGAAAAGTCATGCAGAAATGGGGGATCAAAACAGGGGGGCGTGTCCTTGGTGCGCTGGTGTTCAGGGGGGTGAGTCCGGGGCAAACAATCCAGTAGAAATCCAAAGGGGGAATCCAAAACGAAAGCAAGTCCAAAACCGGGAGGTCCATCCAAAAACAGACAAGATAAAAACTAGAACCGGGTCGGAACCGGCGGAATGGGAACGGGAATGGGAACGGAGATTTAAACCTTAACGGGACCAGGCGCTTCCAGGTCCCGGACTCGCACGATACAGAGATCAGATGCAGAGCCGGGATTAACGTCAGCGCCTGGCTTTTAAGATGCACTGGGAACAGGGAACAGGTGAGGGGAATGAGGCAGACAAGGAAGAGCCGGAGCGCCCTTAAGGAGGAGGGACTATAATCGTGACAAAGCCAGGGTATCAACTTCATCAAGATGGCTGGGTAGCCTTGGTTCAGACTCCCACGGCCCAAAATCCATCGCTTCTCTCTGCGACCACACACCCTGGAAACATGGCAGATCCAAAAAGGAGCATGGTGACAAAAATACAGTACTATGCCGTCTCGCTGTGGGAAAATCTCTAAAGAGGTAGTCTTTCACTCTGCTGTTTGTCAACAAGTCAGCTGTTGGACATCTGTGACAATGAGAACAATGGGTATTCAGCATCAACATTTTTGAAAGAGAAGCTATGGGCCCTATCCATAAAACATTTACAAGCACCATGCTTTTTTTTTCCTAACGAGGAATCAGCACAACGATTTTTTTAAGAGCCACACAGATCTTTCGGGAGGCTCATTTAAAAGTCCCAGCAGGAAGAGTAAACCTTTCGTGCGGATCCTGTAACTACGGGAACTGGGCTTGTCCTGCAGAGCAGGCATTCTGAGTGCAAGCGCCACCTTTCCTCATCGATCGAAGTTCTAAAAGGTGACTCACTCTGTACATACAGCGAAAAAGAGACATTTTATACCTCCTATGCAAAAGGTCACAGTATCTGCATTGGGAATTCCTGCTCATGTGCGTTCTCTGACTTCATCGGAGTTGGGATTATAGCACCTCTGGAGCTGCAAGAGGTTGATTCCAGATGGCCGCATTCCTGATCTCAATAGCAAGTGGAAAAGGCTGGGAAACATGACTGTACATTTCTCAGGCTGCAGGGCCTGCAAACGCAACAAAGAGGATTTTAGGGCCTCTGTGATCAGCTGGAATTCAGATTGATTTCTGTGGCCCAGGTGTCACTAGTTGACTGTGACCAGGATTCGTCAAGTGGCCACATGCAATTGACGGGAGCACCTTGGATTGATTAGTCAGGTCTCCTCTGGCAAGCTGGAAAGCCTGTGTACTGTAGGTGGGCACGTCTGAATCTCTCCTGAGAGGGTCCAGGAGTCAATGGCAGACAAGTGGGTCTTAAAGCAACTGGCAATTTCAAATTCTGTGGGTTTATAATAAAAATAACTGGTGTTGTTTTACTCGTTAAAAAAATCAATAGGCACGTTGGCCCCCAATGGATTTAATTGAGCAATGATTGTGGCTTGTTGAGATCTTAAGTGTGTTTTCCTGTACACAGTAAGAATGTATATGTCGTGCTTTTTCATAGACCCTTGGGATTTGTTAGCGGTGTCCTGGAAATTCAAAGTTTGCACTTTGTTTTGTATTGACAACAGTGACCTTCTTTATTCCTATGGCTTGTGCTTTTCTCCTCTTCGCACACAGTTTGGTCACTCACACACATACACATTTTCTTAACTCGGTAAATCTGGAAACAGGGGACAGCAGAGCCTCACGCATAGCGTTTGACCAAACTGTGGATGCTGGGGCAGGTTCCTGATGCCCGTGGTCTAACATAGCCCGTCACAAAACACACAGGCCTGCTTCCTATATCTTCTCTCTCACTGGAGACATTCTTCAGGTCTCCTGTTTCAATGTACAGATGGCTCAGGGTGGAAATCGTAGCCATTTGCTCGAACCCTCTTGAGCCTTTGGTGCAATGACCTCATGGATCTCTGTGAATCACCCCATTTCCCACCCAGATGACCTGGTATCATTATCGCTGATGTGTCCCCTAACATATTAGAGGTATATTCATTTCACCTTGTTCTCCACATTCAATTCACATCATGATACAACAGATGTTGTAGCCCTTGCTACTATGGGAAGCCCTTCTAGAAAGCTTCTTTTTCCACTTGCCTGTTCTCACTTCATACACCTTGTGGTTTTCATGAAAAATCAGTGACACAACAGAATACATTGGCTGAAAATGCCACACTATACTGATAATGCCTTGTAAAACTGATGGCGGTGGAACAGCAGGAGGTGTCATGTTTTTCTTTTGATCTGGTTCAGGTAGCCTTACAGGAAACAGCTTCACGAAATAGCAGAGTGCTCTCTGTTTTGGCGGATGAGTCACTTTCCGAGACACAGGGATAGACAGATTTTTAGTGGTTGTGGACAAAACATGGCCCTAGAGGATGTTAAACCTCATTTTATTGCCTCTTTTTCTCCAGTAAAGACACACTTTATCTGTGTGAACCTGCACAGAGCTGTCACCTCAGCCCTACGATAGACTGGGGAGCAATACAGGAAAGGAGAACTGGGGCTCAATGACACACAAGTACATTAGGAGAGCAGTCTAGCCACAGGAGCCACATTCCCAGTCTTTAAAACCAAGAGTTCTTCTGTGTCGAAGGGATGGGCTTAAATATCTCTGAAATCTGTTTTAAATCATCCTAAATCCCAGCTATGATTTTGTAAGACAGACTAATGAATTAATAAGTTATGACCTTCAGAAAACAGAAGACTTCAGTTGTCCAGGGCAGTCCTGAGAGTGAGACACAGTCACAGAGCAGCGTGCAAATCGCCTTGGTCCAGGAGCCTCGGCACTCTTAAGACACTTCATGATAAAAACTGGAGCCAGAAGAATAACGTCAGGAGTTGCTACATTGTGCTCCTTAGACCAATCTCAACACTTCTGTGTTGACACATTTTAACAGTTTTTTTTCCCATGGAAAATTTGGGAATCTTGGTCAAGCAGAGAAATTAGAGTTTGGCCAAGCCATGATGTTTGCAGAAGCCAGCATGTCCCTCCAATCATTGGCCTTTCCTGGAGCAGGTACATTAGAAAAAACCTACCCAGTACACGCCCAGGCCTCTGGATACAACATCGAGGTGAATGCAGACTCACAAGGTCTTCTGTAGTTTGGTTCGTGAAGCCAGTGAGTGGTTTCAGTGAGCTGAACGTGCGAAATGGAGATTACCCTGGAGTGCAGGAGAAGAACAGCAAGGGAGATAAAACGACGACTGAACCCAGAGGACAGAGATGACAGCAAGTGAAATGCCCATTCTCGAAGCTGCTCCTGGCTGAAAAGGAAAATCCCATTCTAATAATCAGATGTTTCTTCACTATTCAATAAACATAACTCTTAGAACTCGGACCGTGATGGACAATGTGTAAAGGATCCTATGGATCCCTGTGTCTAGATGACTAGATTTCACAGTACGTCTTAAAGAAGACAGCACAGAGCTAGCAGGTGCTGCCATGAGTTCAATATGATGAATACGCTTAAGTTTTTAAGTTAAAGTCTTGAGTCCCCACAAATCTGCTTCTGGTTGAGTGGAAAACTACAGCAAAGCAGGTGATTCAGAAGTATACTTGTCTAAAGATTCTCTTCTCCGTTCTCCAGCAGGTGCTTCTTGAGGGACGGCTATTCAGCAGTTTTCCTACTACTCACAGCGAAGAAGAAAGAATGTGGGAGGCCCGCAGAGCAGGAACCTTAGCTTCTTGCCCTGGGGGACAAGCCTCCTGGCTGGCTGTGATGGCGCACGGACAACATCCCTCACGCGGATTCAGACACAAATCTCTATGGCGGTTGCCATCACCATTTGACCTTTGCCCTTCTCCTGGCGCCCAGGTGAGGGGTGCAGGCCGGGGTCAGGGAGGACGCTGCGTTTGAGGGGGGCCGGGCGGAGGCAGGTGCTGGAGGCCTGGCCGGAGGAGGTCTCGGGGTGTCTGTGGCCCGATCGAGACGCCGCGTTGTTACAGGAGCCCCTCTCTGTTCTCTTGCCCCTGCAGGAGGGCCGGCGGCGCAGCTCGCTCATCAGCTCGTACTTCACGAAGTAGAACACCTCCTTGACGGCGCAGCGCTTCTCGGGTTCGATGGTGAGCAACCGCTGGAACATGCGCAGGGCGTCATCGGTGAAACGGCGCCACTGAGACGGAAAGACGCCCGGCCGGCACGGGCCTTTCTGCCAGCGCCAGAACTCCTCGTAGAAAGCATCCGAGGGCAGGGCCGCCTCCCAGGGGAAGTTGCCGGTCAGCATGCAGAAGATGAGCACTCCGAAGGCCCAGACGTCCAGGCTGCAGTCCACCACGAAGCCCTCGGTGCGGCTGGCCTGGCACACTTCGGGCGCGGTGTAAGGGATGGTGCCGCTGATGCGCTTCACCCGGCAGCCCACCCGCCGCGTCATGCCAAAGTCGGCCAGCTTGACCCGCCGACACTCGCGGTCGAGCAGCAGCACGTTCTCGGGCTTGACGTCACGGTGCACCAGACTCTTGCTGTGCAGGAAGTCCAAAGCCAAGCCCAGCTGCTGGATGCACCTCTTTACCATCTCTTCTGGCAAGCCCACCTGCGATAAAATCAGAATAATAACTCCTTACACTTAGGTAGCACTTTTCTGGAAACTTCACTCAAAGCGCTTTACAGGTAATGGAGATCCCCTCCACCACCACCAGTGTGCAGCCCCACCTGGATGATGCGACAGCAGCCAGAGTGCACCAG